CTGTAACTCCAACTTCAGGGATCTGACACATTCTTCTGACTGTCCTTGGTTCATGCATTCATGCTCAAGTGCATGCATGCACACACACACACAACTAAAAAATAACTAAAATCTAAATAAGTCCCCAATAAACTTTACATCAATTACCAGTTTATTTTTTAGTCACTGTGCTAGATTTGTGGTGGTAAAGAAAGTTTCTAGTATTGTTAATGTGGACAACATTCTAAAACAACCTTTAAAATTGAGGTGTAATCGATGGCTATAAAACTGAAGCTTTAGGTTCTTCCTCTTCCTGTGTTTTTGTGGCAGTGTGTCTGTGCAGCCCAGGATGGCTTTGCCTTGAACTCATGATAGTCCCTCTGCCTCACCCTTCTAAATATGGAAATTCCCTGAGTGTGCCCAGTCCCTTTCACATCACTCAAAAGATAGGAAGAGTGGCTACTTGAGAGGGTGATATTAAGGATGCTAATAAGTTCTCCTGATGTAAGCCTGAAGTCATAAAACCTTCCCTCAGCTCTGTGTGGAGGAGGTAGTTAGCATCCCTTTGTGGAGGCTTGACTTCCTATTGACCTTGCTGTCTTAGCCTGTGTTGGATCAGATGATTCAGGGAGTAGATGTCCAATGTACTTGGGTAAGTCATTAGCAGTTGTAGCTGCCATTTATTGAGAGTTTTATATGGTCCAGGTACTGTTACAGGGTCCTCTGTCAATTCTTTTTCTTTTTTTTTTTTGGTTTTTTGAGACAGGGTTTCTCTGTGTAGTTTTGTGCCTTTCCTGGATCTCGTTCTGTAGACCAGGCTGGCCTTGAACTCACCAAGATCCGCCTGCCTCTGCCTCCTGAGTGCTGGGATTAAAGGTGTGCACCACCACCACCACCACCACCACCACCACCACCACCACCACCACCCGGCCTAATTCACTCAATTCTAACAGTGGTCTGAAGGATCCTCTTGACTGAGGATGAAAGACCAAGATTATTCTGCTAGTAAACAGTGAAGTCAGAAGAAGGAGACTGTGATAACGTGAAATAGAAAAGACTTTTACCTGGGGATTGGGTCACTGGGATAAGTCATTGTCTTAGTCACTATTGCTATGTTCTATTGCTATGAAGGGACACCATGACCAAGGCAACTCTTATGAAAGAAAGCATTCAAATGGGGGTTAGCTTATGGTTTCAAAGGGTTATTTAGTTCATTATCATCAAGGCAAGGAGCATAGTGACCAGCATGGCACTGGAACTGTAGCTGAGAACTACATCCTCATCCACAGGCTGCCTGGTTTGAGCTATTTGAAACCTCAAAGCCCACCCCTAGTGACATTTCCTCCAAGGCCACACCTCCTAATCCTTCTAATCCTTTCAAAGAGTTTTACTCCCTGGTGACTAATCATTCAAATATATGAGCCTATGGGGTCCATTTTTATCAGACTACCACAGAATCATCTACTTAGATTACCTGACTAGTTTCCTGCATATCCTAATTTATAGAGCTTTGAACTGAATGACTTCTGGAGGACCTTTCAGACTGAATATTTTTTTCTATTTCTCTGAAGGCTACAATCCACATGCTGTTGTAGAAGCTAGTTTATATATTAAGATTCAGTTTTAAGAATCAAAATTTTTTGCAAGTTTATTACAGTCTTGCTTCATATCCCTGGGGTCTTTAACTTGGGAAGCTCCTACCTTAGCCTCTTGACATTAGCATTGCCCCCCAAGAACCAGTTTTGATTGTTTTGTGCTCAGAATTCCTGGGTTTCTGCATGATTTACTTTCTCACCAGCAGTGTTCAGGTTTTACATTTTAAGAAATTAAAATTTATTTTATTTTCATTTGTGTATCTGTCTGGGTGAATGTATGCTACATATATATGGGCAACCATGAATAACTGTATAAAGGCACTTTTTTTAAGCAGTCCTGCACTTTGTGTAACAGCATATGCCGTGGAAGAAAGAAATGTTTTCTTGTGTTTGCCAAGAGTTCTGAGCTGGATAACTAGCAGCCTATCAGTGTGGCTTTGTGCTGGGATGCGTAAGGCTGCATGTGCAAATTTGAAATTCGTATCTACTGCAGGGACAAGTTACTGAACAATGTAGATGGGAAGACAGATTTCAGCTGAAGCTCAGCCAAAACCACTCGAAGCAACCCTGACAAAATAACCATGTGTGTGAATCTAGTCTGTTCCTGGGTATCTCTGAAAGCTTCTCCATCATGATAGTTCTAGGGATAGGCTTCTAGGAAGTTATTCTTACTTGCAGTTTTGAGTCTGGCAATTATGCAGCTCAGGTCCATGTGAGGTAGGCTTTTGTGGACCATGGAGTTATGCATTCATGGTGGACTTGCATGAGTCTTGAAGAAAGTAACCAAGTTGTGTATTTTAAATTATCTCAAAAAATTTCAAATGAAAGTTTGAAATTCAAAAAAAAGGACTTAAGTTTAAGAACTTAAATTATTTTTGAACTTTCAACTTTAATCTCTAGTTACCCTTGTTAATATGTTCCCTGAGGGAGTTCAAAACTGCTTTTGTTGAAGTAAAGTATAAAACAGTGTTAGTAGATCACAGTCTTTCCACTAACAGGCACAGAGTTTGGGCATCTATTCCTGGATATTATCATTTTACTTGAGAATTCAATGTCCTATCCCATATGACTGCTGAGGCGGCTCTTAGTTGGGAAATTCTACAATCTTATTAAATTCTGTGCATTTTTCTTTTCTTTGTTTCTTTTTTTCCCCCCACATCCAGGTCAACCCTCTGTCTTCTGTCAACTTTGTGTCCCCTTTCCAGTAAATTCTCTTGTGTTGGTTTTACTGTGTGCGTGTATTCCAGTAGAAGCTGTCTTTTATGAGGAGGAATAGTCACTGATGGAATGATGCAAAGGGTTTTAGATTAAATGTCATGACTAATAAGAGCAGAGAAGACTGAACATTCACAAATATAATTTCTGCCTACTCTTGGCATAGTCTGTTACTTAGTATTAAGTTTCATTAAGTATATTTTTAGTTTTTAAATTACTGAATGAAACATTCTACCATCTAAAGTAGTAATTTTATTTAGAAGATCTGTATGTATGTGTATATGTTGGTGTGTATGTGTTCATGTGGTTGTGTGCATGTATGCATTTGGGTACATATGGAAGCCAGAGTCAACATTATATATGTCTTCCTCAGACATTTTCACCTTGTTTTTGAGACAGGGCCTCTCATACTCTCCACCTTATTTTTCAAGACAGGGTCTGGCAGTGAACTTGGAACTCATCAGTTCAGCTCGGCTGACTGGCTCATGAGTGCCTGACCCAATGTTGGCTCTACAGATGCTTGCTGATGTGCCCACCCTTTTTACATGGGCACTGGGGATCCAAACTTGGGCTCTTATACATGTATGACCGGTACTTTATCAACTGAGCCATCTTCCAAGATCCTATTCAAAATGGCTTTTCAAACGTATAATTGATGGCTTTTTTAAAATTCTGGGAATTATTCCAGAAGGCAGAAGGTACTCTCTATAAAAGCAAAACAGGACTTTGTAGTTATGAGGGTAGATAGCAGAAAGGTAAAGTGTGGGTGTTTACTATTTTCTCTTATTGCCCATCAGAAGCCTTAATGTGAGCCTATACTTTCTGTAATGAATGAATCCAGCTCTGTGGACTCTAATAACTTTTAGGTGATCCTTCTAAAGATTCCTTTGGTGTTACAGTTTAGTAAAAAAGTAAAGGTAGTTGTCACGTAGAATGTTTTCTGCTTCATGAGAAGTTTGAACAAGGCCGCATGATGGAGGCTTTTTTCTCTACAGAGCAAATAATTTAAATGACAGAGAAGGACACCTAGAGATTAGTGTCCTATAAGCACCTTCAGTGTTCTTCTGATTTAGTGCAGTAAACACTAAGGCTTTGTGAAGTGCAATTCTAATTAGTCTTATCAATAAAAACCTGGAGTCAGATATTAATTAGGGTGGAAGTTGAAAGATCAGAGGAGCAAAGGAGCAGCCACAGTCACTTCTTACCTCTACAAATCCTCAGACCTAATGGGGGCTGAGATCCTGTCTCCACCTCCTTAAATTCCTGTTTCCACTTCCCTAGTGCTGGGATTAAAGATGTGAGCCTCCCAGGTGCTGGGATCAAAGGTGTGAGCCACCATCAGCTGACTCTGTTTCTATTTTAGACTGGTTCAATCTCATGATAGCCCAGGGTGGCCTTGAACTCCTGATCTTGTTTCCTTCTCCCAAGTGCTGGAATTAAAGGAGTGAGCCACCACTGTCTGGCCTCTATAGTTAACTAGTCACTAGCCCTGCCCTCCGATCTCCAGGCAAGCTTTATTTGTTAGAACACAAACAAAATATCATACAACAGCTTTGTCTTAGTGTGTTTTGTTTGCTTTATTTATTAGTTAAAATTTTGAGACAGGATCTTACTATATAGCCTTGACCTGCCTGGGACTTGCTATACTAGACCAGGATGACTTCAAATTTACAGAAATCCACCTGCCTTTGTCTTCTGACTGCAGGTGCATGTGCACCACCATGCTAGAGTCATTTTTTTTTTCTTGGTATAAGAGAATACCACAGATTGAGTAATTTATAATAAAAGGAAACTTGTTTCTCACAGCTCTGGAGTTTGGGGCTAAAGATCAAGGCACTGGCATGAAGCCAGACCTTTTACTTAGATTATCTCATGGAAGAAGGGGGAGGGCAGGGTTTGAGCTTATCCCTGTATGAGAAGCCCACCCCTACCCTAATAACCCACTCTTGTGTTCTAGAGGCAGAGCCCTCGTGCTTTGCCCTTTTTAATACTATTAGATGTCAGTGAAATTTCAACATGAATTCCGGGAAGAGCTTTCAAATTACAGAAGCCTGTCAATAGATTTTCTGAATTGTCTTTCTGTGGTGTGAATGTGATGGCAAGGACACAGGTATGTCACTAGGAAAGTAGTGAACCTATTGAGAGAACATAAGGATACATTCCTGTTGTCTACAGAATGAAACTTGTGCTTTTCCTGTGTGTTTCTTCCAGAATTTGTGAGAAGCTTCTATAATGGTCTGTTCAGCCTTCATCAGAGCTGCCCATGAACACATTTGCCTACTAAGGAAGGTCAGTCATGTCTTCAGATGCCATCAGCATCGGACCTGGGGCTCAAGGCCAGCTGCATCCCAGTTCGTTGCCCAAGCTGCTCCGGGCAGTGTGGTAGAGGTGCTGGGAAAATCCTACCCTCAGGATGACCATACCAACCTCACCCAGAAGGTCCTTTCCAAGGTGGGCAGGAACCTGCACAACCAGAAGTACCACCCTCTGTGGCTGATTAAGGAGAGGGTGAAGGAGCACTTCTACCAGCAGTACATGGGCCGGCCCAGGACCCCTCTCTTCTCCGTCTACGACCAGCTTCCTCCAGTAGTCACCACCTGGCAGAACTTTGATAGCCTGCTAATCCCAGAGGACCACCCCAGCAGGAAGAAAGGGGACAACTATTATCTGAATCGGGTGCACATGCTGAGAGCACACACGTCAGCACACCAGTGGGACTTGCTGCATGCGGGACTTAATGCCTTCCTCGTGGTAGGAGATGTGTATAGGCGGGACCAGATTGATTCCCAGCACTACCCAGTTTTCCACCAGCTGGAGGGTGTCCGGCTCTTCTCCAAGCATGAGGTGAGTCTTTAGATGTGTCTTGTTGTTGAAGAACATTTGTGTTGATGTCTCTGAAGATGGGTGATCAGCGAACCTTGAAAGAGCTGTCCTTGATCTTCGTTCCCTTTATTGACCCATCCGTTTTTCATGATGTCTTTTGTGCACACTGGCCTCCCAAGCTACAGTGTGCCTGATTTGAGACAAACAATTGTTGTCTCACATCACCGCAAACTGTAAACTTCAAAACAAATTTTCTTTTTTACTTGTCTCTTCTCATCCCTTTTCTCAGTACTGACCTTCTTTACACTGGTTTACTACTGGTAAGTGGTTGGTTAGTGGTTCAAATTCAGCCTAATGCAAGCTTTGTGAAGGCGCAACTCTAAACCTGTTCTCGGGTTGTCCATTTGTGTCAGTGGAACTAAGTACTGGTCTCCTGCTGCTGGAGAGTGATGCCCTCCTGTGCTGAGGGTGACTGCAGGTGCTCTGGGTTGGACCATCAGCTGTGCTCTTGTTCCTAAGCTCCTTCTCCTCCTGCTTGACATTGATGGTGGGGCATGTCTTAATTCTTAGTGTTGACGTGTGTGTTTGGATGCATGGAGTCCTTTTGATTAGAAGACTGATATTCAGGCCATCCTCAAAAGTTTTCAAATTCAGATATCTGTTTGATGCTATCCTAATGTGCTGTGTATACATTTATTTTCTCTGTAGTATGAAAGCACTACAAAGCTTGAACCTACTTCCAAAAAAAAAAAAAAAAATTGTGATAAGCACGGTAGCTCAAGCCTGCAGTGATTCAGCTCTTGGGAGGCAGAGGCAGGAGCTGGGCTGTAGGTTCAAGGCCACTCTGGGCTACATAGTGAGACCCTGTCTTAGAATAAACAAATTAAAGAAAAAATAATTAAATTGCAGCATTACTTTTCTTTCAAATATGTTAGAGACTATTTCCATCTTTTCTTGTAAGAAACAGGGCAAGTTTTAGAAAGTTCTATTATTTCATATATGTCTGTAGCAACTCCTTCCAAACATTTTCACTGGGAAGGGGAATTGGTATGGTCACAAAACTCCTTCCTGCAAACACAGCTTGATGGGCTCTGAATGTGAAAACAAGTAACATGGGTGTAAGGAAAAGGGGCTAGCTAAAGAAACTCACCCTGGCCGGGCAGCGGGGCGCACTAGGGAGGCAGAGACAGGCAGATCTCTGTGATTTTGAGGCCAGCCTGGTCTACAGAGTGAGCTACACAGAGAAATTCTGTCTAAAAAAAAAAAAAAAAAAGAAAGAAACCCACCCTGGCCTTGGAGCCCAGAACCAGTGAAAGAAACACAGTTTGGCTCTGAAATCAGAGCTATCTCTGCCCTTGGCCAGCTGACGAGTGAAACCAACCAATCTCTGAGTACCCTGACTCTGGAGCCCAGAACCACTGAAAGAAACACACAGCCTGGGTCTGGGACCCGAGCTACAGTAAGAAACACTTCATCTCTAAACCCAGAACCAAAGAAACATGCCCTGACTCTGAAACCAGTGCCAAAGAAAAACTCTTTGTCGCTAGAATCAGAGCCAGTGAAAGAAATTTGCCCTGGCCTCAGAATTAGAGCCGAAAAACTAAGAAAGGCTAGTGAAAGAAAGGCTAGTGAAAGAAAGAAACACAGTTTGGCTCTGAAATCAAAGCTCTGCCCCTGGGCTACAAAACTAACCAATCCCTGAGCAGAAAATCTTCTTCCTGGAGGAGCTCCGCCCCTAAGAAATCCTTTATAAACCACCCTGCCTGTTTAGTTGTGGGCTGTTCTTTTCCACCCTGGTAGAGGCAGCCACTCTTCTGGATTCCTTCCCAATAAATCTCTTTCTCAAAAGAGTCTTGGGTGTGAAGATCTTCATTCACAGCCGCAGAGAAGAACCTTGCTAAGAAGTCCCTTAGGGACTGAGCAGAAAAAAATTTGCAGAGATGCTCCCTTAGGGGACTGAGCAAGGTGGAGCAGAAAAAGTAACAACTTTGGCCGGAGCTGGAGGAGATTGCTACATTTCTTCAGGGGGTTACCCTTTAGCAGAGTGAAGCAAAAGAAGCAACATCTCGGGCTGTAGAAGTGGAGCTCTGCTGGGAAGCCCCCTTAAGTGGGGGCTGAGCAAAGTTCAGCTGTAGAGGCTTTCCAGGAGAGGAGTAGGATTGCTATACCCTGCGGGGAGACCATCCCCCACCGCACCCCAACTCCAGGTATATCCTGACAGTCAGGATACCTTTCCCTCCAGAGCTGAGCTGTTGCATTGCAGCTCCAGTTGCCAGAGCTGTCCTGGGAGCTCAAGGTATTGCCTGACTCCTGGAGCAATCAGGATAACTTTCCCCAGGGTTGCAACACTCGCTTACAATAGGGTCCTTAGACTAACAGTTTTTATTTTATTATTTTAGTAAATAAGTTGGTGGAAAATAACTGAAAAATACTACCCTCTCCTTTTTTTTCTATCTGCGTCAGAATAATGTTATTCTTTACATCTGGGACATAGGTTAGCCTTTCTCAAAACAGGCTTCAGAGCTGGATCTGGGGAGCTTAGATGGACATTCCTAATACTTGGGATATGGTTATTTTGCAAGGTAGAGGTAATAACACTAGAAAGGGTATGGAAACATTAGGGAACTGAATGGAAACGAAAAGAGACAAGTCAGAGTCTGGAATATGACAAAGTCATAAAATGCCACTTAACATTCATCTGTAAGAGATTCAGTGATAAGAGTGATGTGATGATGTCCATGGCATGCCATTGGACAAGTGTTCAGTCTGGCTTACCTTGTTAACGCAATAAAGAACACACTAATGTGTAAGCCTGCATGTTATGGTAGAGACAGTCAAGGCTGAGAGACTGACAGTGGCATTTTAATGGGGGGAAACTGAGGTTACAAAAGGAAATGAAATGCATATATGGTATTAACCCTTCTTTGTCTATATTTGTTGTAATCCAGTCCAATTTTCCAGGCACCACGTGTAGCTACTCTAGTCTGATATTGTGACTGCTTTCTGGCTTATTAATGAATTATGCACCTATATGTGTAACTGGCTTCATTTCAGGTTGCACGGTACTTCAATTTTCAGTGCTTCGTTTATTCTTCTTACTAAAAACCTATGAGGTAGGTCACCTCACTTCAGCACAGAGAGTCCAAAGTCTGGAAAGGTCTAGTGACCTACTCAGTCTTGCACAGCTAGTCAGTGGCAGAGCTCAATGGGAAGACGGGTCTCCTGAGTCCAGTCTTCACCTGCTGTGCTCTGCTGATCTCTGTGGTACTCCTTGTCAGTTTGTGACAGTGCAAGGTTGTTACAGCAGTAGAGCACTGGAGAGTGGTCGCTTCTGAATTCCTGTCGTCCATTGAAGTTTTGATTCTCAGTCTTCTTACTCTTAACCTCAGGAAAGAGTTTTTCCTTGTTTTTGTTTTTTTTCAGTCTGGCTTACCTTGTTTTTTTTTCTATGAATAATACTTTAAATTTTTTAAAACATATGTACATATGTACTTAAAAAATATATTGTTTTATTTTCCTAATATTTAATAAACTATTCATTATTATGCACAAGACAAGTTATTAGAGTTATAGAGTAAAAGAAACAATGGTGCTGGGTGTGCCGTATGGGCTAGGAATCCCAGCACTTGAGAGGCTGAGGCAGAAGGATTTCAAGTTTGAGGCTAGTCTGAGCTATATAGTGAGGCCCTGTCTCAAGAAGAAAAAGTAGAATGTGAACTATTGATAATTGCTCAGAAATGAATGAGCAATGATAGCATGTTAATTTAACAATTATTGAAAAACAGCCCCTTTGTTCTTTGAAGAAATATAAATGAAAGTAATATCTATAACAATTTCTGGGGAGTAATTAACAGGTAAGTCTGCTAAAGCTCTGAACAAGAGAAAGGATAGAAAGAAACATTGAGTACCCACACTTTCTTGAAGTAAAGATTGGGATTTAATCTATACTTTCAGCAACAATGGAGAGAGAAAAGAATAATGCGGAAAAAGGAGTAATACAGAAAAAGATCTAAGTTCAACAGAAGTCAGGATTGAAAGACAGAGAGCCCAAATCATCAGTTTAGTATGAATTCTAATGCATGAATATTCCCACACTAATGTTGGTTAAGCCTAGTAGGTGCAGAAATGTGTGATCAGGTTGGATGTTCAGAGAACCTGAAACCAAAGCACTCCAGAGAATGGGGTGAAGGACAGGCAGGTTTGTCTGGCAAATGTTTCCACAAAGGTGTCAGATGCAGCAGTATTAACATCAGAAGAATTTATAGAAGAAAAGATAAATGTGGATGAAGCCTGAAATAGGTAATCTAAGAAGCCTTCTGAATTATGAACTTTCATCTGCCTCTGTTATAACCTTGATATATGAAGCAACACTGCTGACTTAAAGGTCGAGTTTGACAAATCATGGTCATGGTCAAAGACGTTAAATGATTTTAGTCAGGGACCTGTGGATTATCTAGACAAAATGAATAAAGGTATAGAAGTCAGAAAATGTTATTAACAAGCTTGATATATCTTTAAGAATTCCGTGTATTGTCTCTGTTTACATGTTGTATACAATTAATGAATTAAATATTTGTTTTAAAATGCTATAAGTATGCCAAATTATTCTAAACAAAAAAAATAGAAGGTAGCTGGGTGTATGGTTCTGGATATCCCCAAGTCTTTGCAGAAAAACTGAGCCACTGGAGCAGCAAAACTAAAACCTATACAAAATCCAGACATAACTAGATGACAGGGTTCTCCTAAGAGCATCCCTGTGTAGGAAGTCACTTCTACCAGCTGGAAGTTCTGAACTGTGTTAGAGAATGAGTTTATAGAGGAGTGCAGTAGTGCCTGGAAAAAGGAGACCTTCCTACAGAACTGTTCAGAGAGCAATATTTGGATTACCAAATTTGCTAGTGGCACTTTGACATGATATACTCATAAGATTGTGTGTCAGTGATTACCACTATCATAAGAAAAGTACCAGTCAGGGGCTTAGGAGGGAGCTCAGGTTGTAAAGTGCTTGTCATGCCTGCATG